ATAAAAACGATGGGATTGTGAAACGCATCAATCTACTCGATCGGAGCAAGTCACGCAATCTTATCGCTCTATCGAATCCATAGAAGTATAGAAAAAAGTTGTATTTTCAGCCGAGAAAATGATTTTTTGATTCTCTATTTAATATTCCATAGAATACGAATAACTGAAAACACTATGAATGGAAAGAAAAAGAAAAAGAAAAAAAAAAAATTGCGCAAATTATTTGCAAGTTATTCGAGTTTGATGTTTCGAAAAATGTTGCTCCAAAGTGTAATAAAACAGGAAGCCAGAAGAAATAAATTTAAAATTTAGAACTTGAAGGAGTTTAACGATATGGTCGAGGTTTGGAAAGATCGCGAAGATGATGGCGGAAAAGGCGAAGGAAAGGCAAAAATCCTTGGAGGATCGTAGATAGCAGGGATGTAACGTGGCTTTTGTCCGACAGTGACGTATACGAACTGCGCCACGGCGACCAGAACCTAAATTGTTTCGAAGTAAATAGCGCACGAGTGGCCGGCAAATTGCATCCACGCCACTTTAGAACGATATCCTCCATCCCTCTACTTCCCCTTTGTTACAACCGCCATTCCCTAACCCTTCCACAATTTGTTTGGCAACGAATGACCGCAGTTGCGACGCGAACGCGTTCAAAACGCGTAGTATTTTTACGCGTTGCACGAGCAACGAATGGCTCGTGGCCATTTTATTTCCCATCCGCTAATTGGAAGAGAAAGGTTATTTCGACCGAGCGTAACGCTCGTCGGCCACGATTAAACAAAAGTAGCACGATGTATTAAAATTAGGTAAGAGATACGGAGAATTCCCCTCGTTGGCGGAAGATTCGATTTTTACCAGTTCCCTAGTATTTTATTCGTATGGTTGCTGGCCAAGATAATTGCGCCGCATCCTCACTATAAACGAATAGGACACTCTTTACCACGCTCAGTGGCGACACTTATGATTTACGCGTAATACATCGCTACCATTTATCCTCGTTGAGAGTAATTTGTACGGAAAGCTGCAGCGATACAGCAGTGCGGTGGGAGTGCAGGTGCGAGATGCTTACCGCCGCTCCAACGTTGCATCAAATATGTATCACGACCGAGCTGATATCAGTCCTGAGAAATACCCATAATTAAAACCCAAACGTATTAAAATTACGCCAAATCGAAAGGAAGAAAATTGTCGATTTTATTATTGACGGAATCACTGTTCAATCACTGTTTCACCCTCAATTGCCTATTACGAATTCCCTTATACTGCTGTGAAAAGTAAGAGAAATTTGAAACATTTTAAACGCTTTAACACACTTCCTTTGTAAAGATTCTTTATCCCAAAATGTTAATATTATTATTTTCTTCGAGTTCTTATTTATTGTTGCATATGAATACGAAATTAACGTAACTGACCAACGATCCGCGTCGATTATATGATCTCGTTCGAGTATTTTAATATCCACGAACGCGGATGCGTACCAGCATAATGAAAGCAAAATTTTCTTACTGGAAAGATTCCCGGATCGATTACTAAACGCACGAACAACTTCCACCAAGCTACCTCAAATAAGACCACGGAGAGGAGGCCGGAATTAAATGATACGAAAGGGATTAAATTATCCGCAATTCCCTAAACTATTAATCTGATCTACAGAATAGCGATGCAACAACAACACGCGAACGAAATTAACGTAGCTATAATTGCAACAACACACAGGATACGCCTGAGTTATGGTAAACGAACAGACTGCGTGGTGTTCCCACACACAAATGAACCATGAATCTGTACTCAGTATCTCCTTTAACCAGGATCCAAAGAGAGAGAGAGAGAGAGTCTGCAGAGCGGAGTAACTAAATAGGTGTATTGTCATTGGACGCTCGAGCACAAAGCAAAAGGGAACATCTATGGGAGCGTGGTGGCGCGACAGGTGAGAGACACTCGAAATTAATTCAACGATCCTCCGAAATTAACATACCGCGAAATCACTTCCATCGGCTCTTCCGTTTCATTGCGAGAATCGTTGCGAAGATAACGAGAGAGAGAGAGAGAGAGAAAGAGAGAGATGTTGGAACAATTTACAAAGGTCGATCGATCGAGTGGAGCGCAATTTAGCGAGAGGCGAGGGCACGATAAGACTAATGGCAATAATTCCTGATTACCGTATCGAGTGCAACCACTCGGTTAAGGAGCGTTGTTAACCGGTGCTGTTTAACCCGCGGCTGGAATAGTGTTGCTTCGGTCATAGCAGTTGTAATAAAGTTGCCAAGTTATTCGCAAGTTCCCGCGACTTTGTAGTAGAAAACACGTGAGAAAGTTGAAGCTCTTAAAGCCCTCAAGAAAAACTTTTTGCCGATTCCTCGTTTGCCTCGCTTTGTCGCGGCTGCCTATCTATCCTAGGAACGTTTAAAAATAGGGTTTATCATCGTTATTCACGCTCTGTGTAAAATTCTGTACGACGTTGTTTGAAAGCTGTTTTGCACGGGAATACTTGTTTTGAATTGCAAAAGCATGATATAAATCATTCGATCTCTCTCAAATTCAAGATAGAAAACAACACGTGGAATATTTTCGGGGAATTGTTTTCTTTGGAGAAAATGTTTGAAAATTTTATTATTAGATTTTTTTTTTATACGTATATTATTTTTATAAAAAATAAGAGCTATGAAAGATGAATATAAAAGATTTCGAGGACGAAATATAAGAAACGATGAAATGTCGAATTAATTCGATGTGACAATAAAAATTGGCCAAAAAGGAACCATCTTTGGCAAAATTATTGGAATTCGTCCAGATTAACTATTTCGTTGGCTCGATTCGAAACTTTTAAAACTTCCATACCAGTATTGTATGCAGATCCTTTCTAACTTTGGTAAGAATTATTAGTTACCAAATTGAATTCCTTATATCACGTAAAAGGAATAGAAAAAAAAGAATTCATAAAAGTTTTTCCATAGCAACGATGCTCGTTAATTTGTGTAAAGAAAAACCGTAGTCTCGTTTATGATGTTCATAAGGAAAGGAGAAGATAAATATTCATGAAGACGTACATCAAGGAAGCATCCAATTGCGTCTACTACAAGCGTTTCGTATGTATTTAACTTAACGACCCAGTTCGCTCCAACTCCATTTCCTACAAATTAACATTATGAAATCGAAAATTCGTTAAACTAAAAAAAAGTTTTCACGTTAAAAGAGTTATTATAAATTGTTGTCAATAACATAAACTTCGACGTGCAATTATTGGTTCAACATTTTTTTTAATTCGCTGGCGGATATTCATATTTTTGATAAATGCACAGCGAAGACAATGGTGAAAAAGCAACGAAAATAATGCATGCTGATGATGACATTTGTATTTAACTCGTATGCAAGTACGTAGAAAACTCTTTTTCATCTTTCGCATTTTTTAAAATAGTTTATGAGGCCACCATACGCGCCACGAATTAAAAAATCCGCAAGACACATTCGCATCACCCGTAACGAATGCGTTAAAATTCTAATAAAATTTGAACTCGAATTATGCTTGGAAAATACACGATGAAATCAATAAGCATCGTAGAACAATTTAAGATCAGGAATATTCTGAATCAGAGTGTCGGACAATAACGTGAAAAAAGAATAGAGGCGGAGAAACTGAGAATACGAAGGTGGAAAAATAGAAAGAAAATTTATCGATTCTTTGAACGAATAAAGGCGAGAGAATCTCTGCTGACTTGGCAAATCATCATTCTTCCAATGACATATCGTTTCGCGTAGAAAAGAAAACGAGATCTTTGACACCGATTGTTATGACGATTACAGAAAACTGAACCATATCGAAAACTGAATTGGAAATGTTCCGTGTTATATTTTCTAGTTCCCTTTTTACGATCTTATTCGTTTCTATAACCGAGAGAACTTCCGTATGATGTTTCCCTTGTCACAGACGAGACCATACTAACGTTGAAATCAAGGTTGTGCGTCTTACTTTCGTCGATTTGTACAATATACATATTTATTTATATATTCGAGCACGATTCGTGAGGATAATAAGAGACTATCCCCTCTCCCTTTTCTCGTCTTTCCAATGTAAATATGTTCTCTGTGACGAATAATAAGGGAAAAACTTTGCGTATTTCGATCAATCTAATTTTCTAGATTTAAAAATATAATTCTTCTTAACATTAAAAATATTTTCCATATATTAATAACTTTTAAATAATTTTTATCGTACAGCTAAAGTATTTTCTAATGGAAAAAAAATGTAAAATAACCAAAAAGAAAGAAATAGTAAAAAATAAATAATTAAAATTGAAATGATATAAAAGAATGTTAACGAATCTCTGATTCACATTTATATAAAAATATTCGATGAATTTGAAATTTTATATATATATATATATATATATATATAATGGGAAACTCGCGTTAAAAAAATGATAATGCGAACAATGACCAAACGCATTTCTGATTTGCGTATGCCGCATAAAGAAGTGTAAAGCCGCACGATGCGACTGCAGTCGAATTTAATAGCACCATTTCTCATACAGTGCTATCGTTCCAATCGTTGTACTCGCTATACACACACACATACTCACCACATACATATATGAAAACGCGACTTGCATAACACACGTACGAGGAGACTTGTAAATGTGTGAATCTACTGCAATGGAGAGCACAATGCGGCTTGACCGGTTACCAACATTACCAACCAGTGCTTTTCTTCACTCGTAAAGCTCAGCCAACGGGCAAACATCACAAACCCTTCCAAGACTTTACTTTTCTACGATTTTACTATCTCTCGAGTTAACATTTGCATGATCTCTAGCATAGAATATTTGAATATTTCCAGACTTTTTTACGTATATTATAACTGCTAAAATGTGTGCTACGCTTATAAAGTTGTTTCTAAAAACTCGTATATCATTTTTCACCCTGTTGTACAATCCTCCGTCAAATTTAACTCTCTCTTTCGCGCGTTACCTACGTGCGTGATAAATGATTTATAATGCATTTCCTACCTGCGTGTTTTCGTGCGGTACGTGGCGCAAAATCTGTGATGATTTCCACCTTGTTGCACCCCACGAACTGGTCACACTCACCTATCAAGCACAAGACAAAGAAAACGTTATTGTCTTAGAATTCGTTGTAACAGGGGCGATTTAAAGGATTTTTAAAACTCTAAGTAATTCGATAAAATTTTGTTGCAATGTTACACGCTGAAGCGCAGCTGTTTCAGTAGTCGATGCTCGAATATAGCGCGACGCCAAGTTTCTCGCCGAACAATTAGTGGTTTTATCACCTCGCAGCGTGATATAACCGCGCCCATCTCCCTCTTCCATCTCGCTTTCTATATTCTGATCTTTATAGATTACAGTTCCCGTCGAAAACCAGCGCGCGATCCATCAGCGTGAAAATAAACCAAGGATCAACCAAGTCTCGATCAAGCGCATCTCGAATACACGCAATAACCGAATCAATGAGGAATCGAGATAAAATCGAGAAAATAACAATTGAAAATTTCTATAAAACGTTCATCTTTCTCGATAATTGTCGAATAATTTTTAGAATTCTAGGATAATTATGAATTCTTTCTAATTTATGTATTTAAATTTTTCTCGAAAGATTCTTAAGATTCGTATTTTTTTTTTTAAGTATTTTTTAGATTCCAATTAATCGCAAGAGATTCTAGCAAATTTCTTAAAAATATTTGAGTACCGATATAATTCGAGGAAAGGAATTCTCACAGGACACTGGAGGAAATTTCGCGACATAAGTTATTAAGAGTGCAATATCAGCGACACAAAGGAACCAACGATCCTCTTACAACGTCGAAATAACTTTATTCCTGACCTATTTTCATCGTTTATGAGGTTGCATGAAGTGAACCCATCGAACGATGGCGTCAAAGGAAAACGACGTTATATCCGGGCGAGAGGTAATGAGATCTCTCTCGCCGATTGTTCCACGAATGGACGATTGGGAATCAGAAAAGGCATCACGACCAGCTGCTACCATACTTCATCTATGATTGTATTCGTTTTATAGTATATTTATTCTCGTTCCAAGATGTAAATAAAACTAAATCGAAATCAATTCTCAATTTCGTCCATCGATAAAAAAAAGGAATAAATTCTTTAAATTTTTGTAAATAAATAAGTACGTCGTTGTTCAACTTATGAATGATTTTAACAATTCATAAAACACGAAATATTTTGTTACATCCTTGACCTATTTTAAGATACTTCAATAAGACATTTAAGCAAGAATTTATCTTCGACGTTACCTGCATACCGGAGAAGCATAATTAAGCCAATTTCCTCGAAGATGGAACTGAATCGTGAGAACATTTCGCAGTGAGATGCGTATAAAATATTATCTCTGTCCTTTCAAAAGAATTATCATATTTATATTCATATGACTATATCTCTAAAGAATATCTATTTTTGAAAATAATTTTGAATCCATCTAAAATATTAAAAATATATCTACGAATATTTTAAATATATTTATTAAATATTGTTTTCCACGCAAAGAATTAGAATCAACAAGAGGGGATATTCGTTACGGATTCTCATTTACATAAACCATAAATAACATTACGTCGGACTGAAAAAAACGTCAAAGAAGAAACTTCTCGCTAACTTCGAATCCAGAAATTATTTCGACGTTTACCGAACCACGGTGCTTCACAAAATTTGCACAAAAGTCACACAAAAAAACGAAGAGGAAATTGACCGAGGTCAGCTGCCTGAAACCTCGAAACTCTCGAAATTTATCCGCCCTTTCAAACGAATATCCAATGGACAAATGTATTTCTACGATCAAAATCGTCTTAAACGATATCATTCGCGTTTTCACAAATGCAGGATCGAGGATCGGATATTCTCATATTTATGAGATTTTTACAAGTGTGCAAAAATCATAGTTATAAGTTATAATTCGATTTAAAAAGAATAATTAAATTACTCCCGAGCCTATAATATTTTTGCTGTAAAAAAATAATCGCAAAAATGGGACATCGATTAAACGTTCGCGTTTTCCACGATCCGCGAAGGAGAAAAGGGGACGAAACGAAGGGAGGCGGGGAAAAACGCGCGTTTCCGCGAACGCATCCATGCCTTTGGAGAGAAATATTTTTGTACCCAGCCCGTTAACCCTGGAGCGGTATTAAACCCGTCGATGCGAAGACGCGAAACAGGGAAGGTTGGTGAACAAGGGCTTTGCCAGCTTTGACGACAAAAATTCACCGCTGTAATAAAGAGGAGAGAAACATTCACCGCCGGTTCAAAATCAGCTCGAAAATGGCGGGTTCGTGGGCAAAGAAGAAAATCGACTATGAGGATACAAGTTCGATGGACACCTTACGTACCTAATTACTGGACGTTGCTTAATACAAAGCGGTCACTCGGCTTGGAAAATGTAAAGGCTGACCGTAAAAGACGATAACGAAGAACCGTTTGAAAAAAATGGGGTAAAAGAATAGTAAAAAAAAAAGGAAAAAAGAAAAGAAAAATGAGAAAGAAAAAGAGAGAAAAGAGGAAGCTACTCGTACGAAACGTATTCACGCTAACGTATCCCATCGGATTGAAGGAAGAATTTTTAATCAGAACGAATTTTTTAGACTGCTATTTGTCTGTCGACTGTTCCCCATCCGTGGCACGTAAACCGTGTCTTTTTTCTCTCTCTCTCTCTCTCTCTTTTTTTCAAAAACGAGGATTATACACGGGAGGAACAATGAATTTTCCGTACTCGAGAAAGAAAATAATAGAACGAAACGATACTTTGTTTCTCGAATTGTTCTAATAGAACGATTCCATCGTGAATGGTATTACAAATATCGTTTCGAATATCTGGAACAATTAACAAGCTAATTAATAATGCAAATATTTGATTGAACCGGTATCACATTGCTGAAATATTCATTTCATCTGCGAGAAGAGGTTTGATATTTGGATTAAAAACTTCTAACTAAATCCATCCTGAAAGGGGAAAACGTAGAAAATCTGGGATACTAACGGCAAAGTCATCGTTGTTGCAAATAGTTTCATTATCCTAACAGGAGCAACGTTACGAGTGAGAGGATTGGTAAATCTCTATTCTTTGCCGTGCAACGCGAGGACAGGACAAAGACAAGAATATCCGAGTACCGCATTTACAAGGATAAAAGATAAATGGTTTGGGAGAAGATCGCCAAGTTTGAAAGTGGCGCTCTCTATGCGGAAATGTATTTACGCCAGAAAACCAGAACCGAGGAAATCGAAAAAAAAGAGAGAGAGGACACTGGAAGGGAAGCGGAAGCCTCCTTCTCCCCGAACTGAGATAGATCAAAGGACGAGATGGAGGAGGATTCGACAGAAGAAAAAAGGAGCGCAAGAATGACGAAACAGATCGATGAGACGATGAAATAGTCCATCGTTCGCTTAACGGGGAGAGAGAGAGAGAGAGAGAGAGAGAGAAATAGAGAAAAGGTGGTTAGGTGGTTAGGTCGTACGTATACCTAAAGCACAACTTTTTACCCTCCTTTCCGGCCCTTAGACGGTAAAGCACGAGTGGCTAGCTGCCGGCGTTACTTCATTATCCGAGAAAAGAAAAACCGTCCACAACTGTAAAGTGAATCGCATCTCTCTAATTAAATTTTTGTTATCAACGAACGAGCCGCTCGTTTACACCATGCCCGACTGGTCGACAAACAAATGTAACTTTCAACCGTTGTTTGGATTGCCCTGGGAGTATGCCCGCAGCTTCTAACGACTCGTCCAATGAAACTAGTTTCCTGATAATCGAGAACAAAGAAGAATGAAACATTCTGCGGAACATTGTAACGATCCTTTTTTTTAAATTCGCTAAAACGCGAGATCTCTTAGAGAGAGAGAGAGAGAGGAAGATGATCTCAGTCGTAATGTTATAATTTCATTTCCAGATGGAAGAATGAATAAATAAATTTGAATTGTGAAATCGGTGAAATCGGTCGTGAAATGTGTGCGAATTGAATATACTGTTTTAGATACAGTTAATGTAGAAATGCAGAAACTTTGAGACAGTAATATTTGTAAAGTCTTGTTTTCTTTTTTTGAAAATAGTTTAACTAAATTGTATCCAAGAGAGGAAACTTTGAAAACTTGGATAGGACGAACATTTATAAGACTGGAGGAAGTAAAGAAACTCGTTAAAGGATGTCTGGAGATCATAAATCCCATAAAAATATAGAGCGATAAACCACCTTATTCTTGGATCTGCTCTAATATAAATTATTCCCGTAATTCTTGTATCTTGAAATTGAATATTTAAAGAGCGAATATTAAAATCCGTTTATTTGAATATTAAAATCTATATAATTCACAGGGATAAATTTTAATTTTCAATCTTCAATTGTAAATCATTGTAAATTATTAAAATGCACATCATTGTTATCCATAAGAAGAAAGAAATATTTCCTTGAAAAACAATGGGCCAAAGGTATTCACTGGTGGAATGTCGCATTTCAGAAAATGTGGCGCAAGGTTATGCCATCGTTTGCCAACTATGTGTGCGCTTATTAATCGTTTTAACGACAGGAACAGTGGCTCTAGGCAAGGGATCGAGCGAGCAAGGAACTCGCCCTCTCTCGTTTATTCATCGTGCAACTAACATCACCGGGCGCGAATTTAAATTGGTCTACTAATTTTCTGCTTTGGTGCTTGTCCGTGACACAATAATCGTCGAATTGGGTGCGAATCACCGCGGGCCAAGAGGGAAGACAGTGACAAATGGAGGTTAAAAGAGGTGGACGAGAGAAAGAGGCCGCACAACGAGCAGCATCTTGCCACTCGAGTTTATTTCTGAACACTGTGAGGACGACGTCACACGGTAACCAGAATAGCGGGCATCTACGTCACGTCTGGGTGGTCGCGAGCAAATTTTGAAGGTAGACACACGCACAAGTGGCGAGGACGGAAAGGCAGAGAGAGAGAAAAGGAGCTTCGATGAACGAGCATGGAAGATGAACACGGTCCAACCTGGCTGGTGGAAAAAGCCACGAAGAAGAGAGAAGAAGGTAGAAGGGAAGATGAATGAAAGGAATGCGAGATAACAGCTGAGCAATGATATAGAGAATCGCGCGATGAGCAGCGTGTTTGAATTCGGTTATTATCGATTCATTCGTCAAACATTGTCCAAGATATTTAGTTGCGTTAATGCGACGTATCAGACTTGTCTCGAGCTTTCAACGATGCCAATTTATTCGTTGAATTTTGTCTAGAATCTGGGAAACGAGATGGTCGATCATGGCCAGATGTACCCGTGTAATTTGCCAATTTTTATCAGTTTGATCGTACTTGTCCGACGTTTTCTCTTGTCTGACGAAAACTTCCTAAGAGTTTTATCGTTGCCAAGATTCCCGAGATAAATTACAGCTGAAATTTTGCAACGTTTTGAGCTTTTCACGATCGAATTCTTAATCACATTTAACATTTGTTTCCTATATACAGTGATCCAAGATATTACGTTGTTTTCTTAAAATTTTATCACACTATATAACTATATTTATATTACGAAATGATTTTTATCAAAAGAGATTTCACGAACCGCGTTGTAATGATTGTAAAAATCACGATGTATCGATTATATTGCGAATATTTTACCAATATTTAACGCGTTAATTTATTCATAAAAGTTCGTTTCAAATTTTCAATAGCATTGCCATATTAAATATTAAATATTTTATAACGTCATCGTATTACGTGATGCATAAGGGATCGAAGCAAGTTTCATATTACAAGAGTATGAGAAGATAGATAAGTATAGCATAATAAGAATGAAATTACATAAGTGGATCACTATATAAATTCAACAAATAAAGAAGCGAATCATATCTGTAATATCTTCGTCTATAAAAAAAAAATATGAAGTCTCGAAGTTAAAATTACCTAAAAATTGAAGAAACTAAATTCGAGGATCGTAGAAATAACTATCCCGAGATGATCGGTGGAAGCATCCACCTTAAGAACGTTAAACCCTGTTAAACCCTTTGAGTCCTGTGAAAACAAGATCATCGAAGCTCGAACTCTAAAAATTCGATACACTCGTCAAAGAGCACGTCGAAATGCTTAGAACTTCAAGTTCTACGAGATTAGCGTTTGAACCAGAGGATATATCTTGAGACCATTAAAGAATCTTAGGACTTCGAGGTTTATGAGCTCAGAATCGTGAAAGATCCACCGAGAATTAAACCGAAGTCTTGAAGATATCGAACTTATCTAACATCGAACACGAGATTCTAAGGTTTCGTGATGATGTCAGTATTCCGAAGTGGATAGAGGCAAATTCTGCTATTTCAAGGCTCCATTTATTTCTTAAAACTCATACATGTACCGATTCTTTTTTTCTTTTAATCCTCCACCATTCCTCAAACTCGCCAAGTACGTAAGTAAAAGTATTTCCAACACCAACCCCGGGAAAAGAGATTTTATCATTCTTGGGTGGAAAAATATAAATTGAGCCTTCACTAGCTTTTGGATCAATCGTCAAAGCGTCAACAGATAATCAAAGTGGCTCGATCAAGTCAAGATTAAATCAACTTAAGCAATCCTGTTTTAACATGGAAAATATTTTAACATATACGACGTAAAGAAGATAAAAGGAAAAGACAAGAATAAAGGTAGAGGAATATTTGATGATATATTTGCATGTAATATGTATATGTATAATCAAGGAATAAATTAAAACATCCAATTAAGTCGAATCCCTATAATGTTAAAATTTATAATTAATTTGCTCGTTATTTCTTGTGAATGTTCTATCTTGTTGGTATTATTTTAATGATTAAAGCTGTGTAATATTCAAAAGATGGATTAAATTTTCTTATGCTACTTCAATATAATTTATCGTATATATATAATTGTAACGATAACACAGAAGACATTCCACCAATTCAATTATTCGTCGATTAATTAGCCAATTAGGTATTCGGAAATTACAGCTGCGATCTGTAGAGAAACAAATTCCAGAGCTTCTGATACGACATTAACCTGAATCGTATAAATCACGATTGAGAAATGACAATAGAAATCGTATAATCGCTACTTGCATCGATAGCTAGCCCAGTAAAACGCAATTTCGCATGTTTGAAATTCTCGTAAATCTTTGCGAGATTTAGAGAACAATCGATATTTTCCCGCCACGGATTATTATGACCTAATATACAACTTTTCATAATCTTTTTCAGATAAGATATAAGTCAACATTCGACTAATAACTTAAAGGAAAAAATTACCTGTTGTTTCATTTAACGTAGAATACATCACACTTTTTGTCGTAAATTTACGCTGCACCAAATTCACGATAGTCCATAAAATAGATATCACCGGCAACCACATATTGAATCATAAAGCAGCCTGTTATCTGTTGTTAATTTTGAAAAATTTCCTCTTCACGTTCAAGAAAATTTCGCTACGAATTATGAATTAATCCACGACTTTCGTGCTAGCTATTTTTCTTAACTTTATAAATATCGAAATAAAATATTTCTTTATGAAATTATATTTATTATAATGAAATCTTGACTGGCACAGTTCTCTCCAATATCATACGTGCACAGATTTCAATGTTTGCGAGCTCATTAAAGAGTTGAAAATGTAGCAAGAGAAAAGTCGAGAGATTATCGACCGTAGACACACGAAGTGGAGTCAACGAGATACGTCTGAAAAAATCTCAACGCGAGACACCTCGAATGTCGTCATATCTGCAGAGATTGTATTTGCAATATAGTAGTCACATTTTCGTTGTACTCATGTTACGTCATCGCACATATATCTATCCAATTCGCTTCCTCGATTTATTTCTATACTGCCAATAACTATAATAAGTTCTAATTTCTTTTCTGACAATATATCTCGTCGTGCTTCTTTCTTGAACGAAATCTTAATTCAATCCTTTCTATCTTCTCCACGGATCTTCTCTTCAATCACAAATTTTCCATTACAACTCCAATTTTTAACTTGTTATTATTTCTCGACCTCTTACGATTATAATATTGTTCCATCGCTGCTTTCTATCCCAACTTTCTCGCCATCTGCGAATGATCATTCCATGATTCTCGATTATTTACCGCGATTGGGATATAAATTTCCAATTTCAGAATCCATAATGGCGCGTGCTGGCATTTTGCCAGCATGCTTCCTATTTATTTGTATTGTCACGCCTCTACTACACGTGGTGGCGGTTCAACGACACGTGACACGCGAAATTGTTTATGAACAGGTCGCGATTCTCGCGAGTTTGCGCTCG